GCCAAGGCATCTGAAGGTTGTAGGGTGAGTCCAGCAGAACCTACTGACAAGATGTGGACTATGTCTCACCACTCAGTGACTCTGGGTCTCCCAAAAATTGAGATCTCAATCTGGTGGAGGCAAGACAGATTCCCTTCTCCAGTGAGTGATAGAAAAGCCAGTGAAAAACTGGGTCACTCCTTCTATGTTTCCAGACAGGGCACTGTCTAAAATGTGCACACTAAGGGACAGGCAATTATGTGCTTCAAACTGGACCTGCAGAACCCTGACTTGTTTAGACCAAGTGTTTGAAAAGATGGAGCAGATTCATGGAGCAGTGATTAGTTTATTTGACCAATGACTGAAAGAAAGTAGCATTCCTTGCTTTATGAGCTAGAGGATAGTAGTTTCCAGCAGATTATATGGGCAGTATTTTTGACTGGTACTCAATCACGCCAGACAGGAAAGTCTTAAAGCTGAAAACCAATAGAAATTGGGTTGTGCTTTCTTTCTTTCCAAATGCCCATGTGATGTTCTTAGTGAAAATTGCCACTCTTGGGAGAGTAGTAGTGGTTCTTTTAAACCTGCTGTGGGGTTTCTCTTGTATACCCTTACCAAAGTGGTAGTGGTTCCTGTGAACCTTTTGTGAGGTCTCTAATGTATGTAATACCTAGGATCATGCCAACAGTGACTGAAAGGCTTAGCATACCTTGCTTTCAAAGCCTCTAAGTGGCAATTAAAGATACAAAGAATGTTATTGCATTACAATGTACAATTACCACTCATATAATAGTTAAAACAAATGTTTGTTCAGGATGCCAAAGGCTGAATGGGGTGTTGTGCCTCCCTTTAATTTCTGATTTATTTTTTTAGTGAAGATCAACATCCTTATTGGAATAGAGACAATTTTTCTGAATAAACCTTGGTATTTTCCAGAAAGCAAAGACCCTGTTGTGGATATAACTCTTCGATGTGAAGTAAATGGGTTTTGTTCCCCAAACATGTATTGATGTACAAGGTAGCAGCAGAATGAAAATTTTAATGCTGTCATATGGAATTTTGGCTCAGTGATAATTCATATAAATTCCACCAGGAAGTGTTTTTGCAAGCCCCAAAAAATCTGTTGAGTCTTACTGCTCACAGATGGCAGCAGCTGTAACTACCAGAAGACAATTACAAGTAGTAACCAATGTTGGTTACCATGATAATGGCACACATGGTGAGGCGACCTGTCAAAAGCTAATAGTACATAAAGTACATCACAATATACAGTAAATCAGAACTAGAGGGTAACCTATGATTGAGAATACGAGAGTTTGATCAGGTTGTTGATGTGTGTATGGAGTTAACTGTGAACATTAGTCTGATTGACATTAATTGAAGAAGCAGTGAGATTACTGGTCTTGTTATCCAAGCATGAGAATCTTTTAGTTTTACACTGAAACATTCTACAGCTAGTGAGTTTTGCTGAGAGAAATGAGAATAACCTAGGCTCCTACCACATTTGCATAAAAACACAGTATGCAATATGTTTTGTAAGTTTGATTGGTAAAATTTCAATCATTCACTGAAATGATAGTGGAGTGAAGTGAAACTATTTGTGAAAAATGAAATTCCTAAACAATTTGTCTAAGCATAGCAAATCAAAACTTGAGGTAACCTATTACTTTGGATGTCATGCATATTCAAATGCTTATAGTACCTGAAATTTCTGAATATATTCTTAACCTAATTCAATATGAGCTCAGTTCTACGTGAAAATTTAGACTGTGAAACCGGGAGTGAGATATGACACCTCTGTGAGAGAGACAGCTATTTTTCTCTGGGGCAAGCTTGTTACAGGACTGCCACCCATGTGATGTTCGATCTGTATTGGTCACTGGTATGGATGTTTTCACTCCAACACTTCTTTTCTGCTGGTTCCAGGATATGGTAGTAAACACTTAGATAGTAGTGAAGGGAATGTGATGAGGTATAGAATAGCTGTAGACTATCATTGTGGTCGTAATGGTATCGGAAGTAACTAACATCAAGCTCGTAACTCGAGGATGTCTGCATTGAATGCAGTCCATAGGTAGTAAGGATTGTGTTATGGGTAGGATTCACATGAGCACATGTAGTCTATATACACGGACCTCGGCCCCAAACTTTATTTTTGTGTTTTGTTTTTGTCATGATGGGTAATTTTCAGAATGAAGAATCATTTTGTGACATAAACATTCCAAACTTAACCTACGTTCTTGACCAACCGAAGTTTCTTTGACCCTGTATTTTCAATCCTGACTATTTAAGATCAAGTTCTCAACCTTTCTAACTATTTTAATTTTTGAACTGGCTAGTAGTGTTTTCAGTGTTCTCTGTTAAAGATACCTACCAGAATTGCTGAAATGGAATGCATTAACAGTCTTTTCTTTTTGGTTTTAGTGATACTTCAGAATTTCAACTGTTGCCTTCCATGCCTGGTATTGAACTTACTTTCATGTCTTCAGAGCTGAAGATCTGAAGATGCATTGCAGGGCTAACTGTCCAAATTCTGGAGTGTCCTAAATCACTAAAAGCGATTGGTAGTTCCATCAACAATAGATATCAAGAAACCGGGAAAGTGTGCTCATATAAATTCACGATGTCCAGATGCCACCTGCACTGCTGTCTACAACTTCATTATAGACAACCCTTGCTGATGTGAAGGAGCAAACTAAGAAGTCCAAAAATAAGCAAAGTAAGTTGGAACACTGGAGAAAATTGATGAGGGACTTCATCGCAAGATGCTTTACTGAAAAAGAAACTTGACATGTAGAATCATAAAATCATATATCCCAGTAGGAGCTTCTTGCAGCGTTGTCCAGCAAATGAGAACGAAGCTCTGAGGCAACTACTTCTTCAGCCATCTCTACTAATTTAACCATCACCACACAAGAAGTGGCTCACAAAGTTGTATACGCCACTATGGCAATATTGGCAATGGTGCAACTAGTTGTGGCAGCAGTTTCATGAGTGGCACCAGAGCATCTACCTCTACAGCTCCACTGACATCATTCCCTATCATAGCTTGAGTCTTGATTTTTATTTAGCTTGGTTTAACAATAAACTATTAAATGTAAGTTTGAAATTTAGTTAGTATTCATTAGAAAGCATTTTAAATTTTGGATTTTGTTTTAGTTTAGCTTTCATTGAATTAGCTCACACTGAATTGATTAGATTATTTATAAAAGCTTTTATCACAGATCTCTCCCGAGTTCCACACCCATCACGAAAACACTAATACTTGTTTTTGTTTTTATAGTGTTTGTTACTGTAAACAAAGATTATTATTCGTTTACGCCTCTCAGCCTTGAGTCTTTCTTCTCAACAATTTCACTTAGAGATAGAAGAGATACTGTTACGACAGCGGAAGTCACGTGACGCTAGTAACACGTCATGAGATTCTAGAATGATCATGTCTGTTCCTGGCAACTCTAGTATGTTCTATGCGTCCTCTATTTTTGTATATATAAGCCGGCAAATGAAGTGACAGCATAGATAATTGCAGACAGAGACAGACAATTGAGTCAAGCGCAGTAGTGACCACAATTAAAGT